TTATCAGTAAGGCGCTATACAAGTGCAGGTCATATACTGATATCATTTAGTGCCAGAATCAATTTGATCAGGCTTTCTAGAGAAAATAAATGAACTGTAACTTTCTATCATTGTTTCACACATGCAACATGCAAACTAACATGTGCAAAACACGTCCTGATGAACCACCATGAAATACACTTAAGGCCTAAAGTCAGCAGATTCCTTAATGCAAAGATTCAAATTAGCTGCTGAATAATTCATGACGTTATCTATAATTCATCCGCTGTCCAACAGGAGGGTGCCATGAGAGTTATTCATCAGCTGTGTGCTATAGGAAGATGCTGCTTCCAACAGCAGGTGGTAGAACAGTAACTTTTAGTTACAATTAGGTACTAACGGTGTGCTTTAGGTGCTGCTGATGAAATGTTTACTCTGGTATAACTAAAGTAAGTAGAAGGGAGACAAATGTAATCTATGTCAAACAGTAATCAGTACTTTATATATGTATTCAGCTGGACGGATGCCATTTCAAAGTATATAAACTGCTGAGAAACCAAAAAGATGATTATGCTGGTTTGTTTACACATAAACAAGGCATGTAGCCCACCCAGCTGCTCTTCTGGATGTTTTCTACACTTATTTGAAAACAGTATGGTCCAATCCGTTCCTTAAGCATGCTGTGAGTTAGTTAATCTGAAAATGAAGAGATGAAACAATACTCCTAAAGCTTTAATAGGAGGGATCTCCTCACGATAACTAGATTATTGTAAGTCATACGCAATAGGTGGTGTTAGCTGCAGTTACGTTGAATTAAGATTATAAATCATCCTACCCTGATAAATATTAAATATTGTGCTTTAATAACCCTTCCACACTCAGGAACATTTGTAGATCAGTTTAGATTTAAAAGTGAATAAAAACCACGAACTTCAGCGAGGTTAGATATGATGAGTAACTATCTGCAGGAATGTAGATCTGATCCAGTGACTGCAGCGCTGCTCACTGGATTAGAGCATCAACTAAACGCATATGTACCTTCTAACTGGCTCTCAACAAATTAAATATCACAGCCAAACTCGTTTTCAGCTATGTTAACTTCCTCAGGAAATCTTATCTGAGAGAGATATTTCAGTCTGAGGAGGAGGCCTCCAGGCTACATAGTCTCATTATTTGGTTTGGCTTCCTGAATATGTTTCCTCTCTTATCCTCAACAGCCCCTATAGTGGATTTTGGCTTTGGACGAGGGCATAAAAACATCCGCCGTTTAAACAAACTGTTAACACATAGATGAGCTATCTCAGAGGGGCAGACTCTGAGTCTGTGTGCTTGGGTTGTTGGCAGTCCTCTATCAACACCAGCAGAAAGCCACTTGTGCAGAAGCAAAATAAAGCTAGAACGGCACCTGAAGGTAGCACCGGCAACGCGGGAGTTTGTTTAGAAAGAGCAGACAGTTTTAGAAACAAATAGGCTCATTGATGCTTGACAAGTTTGTACATAATCACTGCTAAAACCCCCACATGGCCTTCTGACCCCACTCATCTGTTTCCTTCTTTTGTTTTAGAGTCAAATGAAATGAATGGAGTCCTGTCTGGATACTTTCATGGTTTCTAACCACCACACCAGTGGACCTGTTTCTGTTTAGACTTTTAAACACATTATTAGTTGTGCTAAACAGCAAACAAACAACTTTGCCAATAAATAATAATGGACAGGAATCGTGTTGTGCCCTATCTGAGCATGGTTTAAACAGCACAGCCTAACTGACTCTATGACATAAAAAATATGATGAATTAATCATCAAATGTCTCTATTTGTTTGTAGTTTACAATTTCTTGTTTCTAATTTTACCTCCAACCCCCCAGCTCTTCACTATGAGCGGCGTTCCACATGTGCAGAACAGCTCTGTGACTGATGTGAGAGGAGATTTTTATAAATGTTAACATTTAAAGAGCCATAATACCCTGGAACTAGGGCTGGACGATAATTCAATAGTTCAATATAACTATCGATAGACATGTGATGCGATAGATAAAAAACTGGTCGATAAAATTTCGATAAAATGTTTCCTTTTTTCATTATAACCTATCAGGTAGCAGCATACTAGACTCACTACTTACTCCTAACCAATCAAAACCAGACTCGGCACGCTACGTCGCCAGGCCCTCCCTTCTCAAACCAAAAGAGAGCGAGAAGCGGCCGCAGCAAGATGTCTACGGCTACCATGATTCGACTCGTCACGACAACGCCGACAAATAAAATAGACCTTATTTTATAAACAATTTTTTTAATCTCGCCCACTGCGGCACGTTCTGCTTTTGCTTCCTGCCTCTGTGCTCAGCCACCACTTTAGCTCCGATGCGCATGCGCAGTGGTGGCCATCCAGCTCAGCCTTCATCATCGGAGATTGTGTTGAGTCGCAACATATCTGAAAAGTTTGGGTGCATTATACTAATTCAAAAGAAAGCTACGTAGTGCAAACTCTGCAAAGCAAAACACTCCTTTCACAGGAGCACATCGGCGATGCACGAGCATCTTAAGAGGAAGAACAGAGTCGCCTCGGTAAGTTTACCTCTTGTTAGCTGCTAACATCAATGGAGTTACTTGTATTTATGGCTGCAGCAACACCAGTAGAGACGGTGATGTTGTTACCTTTAGAACATGTTTGTATGTCACGTATTTTTGCTCCAATTACAAACGCTAATGATTTATCTCATCCCGGTGGTCAGGGGTGCACGCAAAATATTTTCTACAATTTTGAAAATATTTTTCAATAATTATCGATATCGATCAATATAAAAAATGTTATCGATATACTTTTTTTCTATATCGTCCAGCCCTACCTGGAACCCACCTGAGGTACAGCCCGGTTCAGACGGCATGTCAATTTTTGACCCGATTCTCTCCTCCTGACAATCTTAAGGACACGTACTGTAATGGCCCCAAAGATAATCTTATCAGATACTCCTACCATGTGTGGTGCTAAGAGCACCTTGGTTTAGAAGTGGCTGTTTCAGCAAGGAGTCAGCTGGAGGCAGAACACAGCAGGAGTCTCATTTTCTGATATTTGGCCATACAGTATCTCCTCTGATTGGCTAACAGCAACTCGTCTCTACCACTGATTCCATTTGCTCTGCTTTGTTGATGTTTTATCTCCACAAATAGCACAAGCCTGGAGAAGATCTGCTGTGTGGTGGAGTTGCTAATGTTAACAATTAGCTTCTGATAGCTGAGACTTTCTCTGCTGTTTCCTGGTCACTAAACCAACAACAGCCTTCCTTGTGGCGAGCCAAGATGGATGAGTGCATGAATGTTAAGTGACAGTTTACCGTAGCTGCCGTTTGTTTCTAATCCTAGAGTTTCACCGTCGTTTACTATCAGAAGGTGATGCAGGAGATAGGTGTAGGAAATTATTTTCATGTTCAGCCTGCATGAAAAACTCACAGTGACCGATTATAACCAAAAATACCGTAAATCCTCTAATACAGGCCTGGGCCTGTATTTGACTCAAACTCATCAAGCTCCAGGCCTTTATTGGAAGGAGGACCAGAATTAGAGGCAGGCCTCAATTTCTATTTGAGCAAAATGAACTAATGGTTCGCTGGAGTTTTTGACAGTTAAAATTGCGCCCACATTTTCAAAGTTAAACACATTTCTTTTAACAACGGTAGTTTCTGCTTCAGCCCACCCCCTCATCCCCCCACCACACCCCCCCACGCAGCGGCCGCAAACTCATTGATGCGCCTGCAGCCTCTCGGAGTTCCTGCTGCTCTAAACATTAAAATAATTATTTCATTTCCTGTTCCTCACTTCTGATTACCTTCAATGGTGTCTGTTTGTTGCAACCACCAGGTACAAAAACTAACTTGTTTTTTATTTGACTATTTTTCTGTCCTGCCTGTTTATTATCTTCCTGCATCTCCTCTCAATCCTAAAGAAAAACTGCTACCTGGGTTCATATATATTCACCTTATGAGTTACCTTTGAACTGCAGTTCTTAAAGATCTACCGACCACAAAAACAGCGGAGTGCTCGCCGGCCACATCAGTGAGCTGCGTCACCGAGGACAAAACAGGTGATGCGCCCTGATCCGCAGCAGCGAAACGCATCAGGCACAAATAAAAGAAGAAAAGACAGAAAACATTAAAGGAAATGAACCGACATGAATGATCGCGTGTTAAATTAGTTTTTGAGGTGGCGACACCTGATTTGATAATGTTACTGTGGCCGTGCTCGGGACGCAGATGTCTGGAGCGCATCAACAATCAGAGCTTTGCATGCACAAGCTGGTTAAGGTTAGGATGGGGGTGAGGAGAAGGTTAAATTGCAAGAGGGTAAAGGTCACAATTTGGTTAAATGTCCGTTTTACGGCGGGTGTCAGTACCGACGCTCTGGCACAGCGCGTTGCCTCCCGAGGCGCAGGAGCTTGTCACCTGCTGACAGCAGGCTGCTGTCTTTTCTGTGGACTGCAACTTGCCGGTCATTATCACGTGACAGCGACCAGTCGATGACAGGCATAAAAAGTCACTATAGAGCGGTGAAGTCGACTAGTGACTAGTTCATACAACCCCTGCTACTGCTCCCCAGAGTGTTCTGCAGCATAATCAGCACGTTCTCTTTGAACTTGATATCAAATTTTCGCCTCCTCTTCGTCTCCGCACGGTTAAAGTTACCCTCGCAGCCTATCACTGGCAAATCAAAAGTGAGACGGATGACACAACCGCCCCCCGTACCGTACTTGCTTGTTACCACATTCCACCCGGCCACAATAAAAAACCGGCCATTATTCACCTCCGCCGACTCCGACACCGGCCAAAATATGATACCCGGCAGTTAATTAAATTCAGGCTAATATTAGAGGATTTACGGTAGTCATTTAAAAAAAGTTTTTTTTGTGTTCCACACCTTTAATCGCTTTTCTCTAAGAAAAAAAGGGACAAACACTCCTGAATATTTATGACCCTCACAAAAGCAACATTCTTATTGAACTTCTCTCCCATCAGATACTGCTGATCACTCACCATCTTGTTCTTCTTGGAGTATGTCTTCTTCAGCAGCCTCTCATTCATCCTCTCCTGCTCTCGCTGAGCGTGATGAAGGAAGCCGTTCTCCAGCGGATCCAACACCAGCTGAACGTTCTCCTCTTCCACATCTTCATCTTCCTTCTTTGGCCGCTTCACCACCTTCTTCTCCTTCCAGCGCTCCTTCTTCTCCTGTGTCTTCATGACTCCCGTCTTCTTCTACAAGCAGAGAAAGATTGATTATACGTATAAATCAGAGCTAACCATCCACAGAATATAGTGATGATCCGTCATGAATAAATTTAACTAAATCATTGTGTCTGTTAATGGATTTTACATGACTCAAGTGTTTGCGGTCCTGTTTTTATTTGAATCAGAATTATGCAGACAGACAAATCGATGGTGTACTCATGTTAGATTTACTGTCTTTAGCATTTCAAGGATTTTCTAAAGAACCTTGAGATGATTGTTCTTCTCATATCAATGTAAACCTACTGGCTGTTCTGCCTTCAGACAAGAACAAAGCAGACTAATCTGAAAGGAGAGTCAGACTGACAGCAGATAAATGTGTTAAAGAAAGGATGGTGGGTGTGCTGCAGCTGGCACACACTCAAGAGCACAGCCCTTTTCACTTCAGGCTCCCAAAGCAAGCAAACAGCACAGCAGAGAGCGGCGATGCTTTAAAGTCATCTTTAATCCTGTCAACAGCAGAACAATGCTTTACTGGAGCCTATAATCACTTTATGGCTGAGATATAATGAGCTTATGATATGAAGTGCTGCTTTAATGCACGCTGGAGAAAATACAGTTGCTTTACATTTGTGCTATCACCAAGCAATTTTCCCCTTTAACTAATCATTGCTTTCAGGCATCGACTGAAGACTGAACTAGACTTTGTTTATTGGAATTGAAAAACCATTAAGAGTTCCTACAAGCTCAAACACCGTTTTTTATTCCCGCCACATCTCCTTACAGTACACCTGCTGATTATTCTGAAACAAGCAGATGAAAAGGTTTTTGTTGGAGACGGCTATGGTAGTGGGCAAAAAAAAAAAAAAAAAAAAAAAACAACCAAAACAACCAAAAATACCAATAATCCTCCAACCAACATGTCCTGTGAGACAGCAACAGCCTTGCAGGGATCTAAATGGTTATGATTACCACAGTTTGACATTAAAGTGACAATGCATATTTTCGCTGATTATAGGTGGAAGTACATACATAAATTATTTCAAGCAAGCAGTATTGTTGTGTTTGAGCAAGACCTTTCCAAAGGATGGCCATTAGGGTAAAAAATCCCTTGGAGCAATATGACAAGCACATCAGACTCACTTTCATCACTGGCAATGAGCGAAGAGGCAAATGTGTAAAACAACGTTCATGAATGATGAAAGTTTTGTAACCATTTGTTACAAATCAGTACATGCATTTTGTCCTCACAGGCTCCCGTAGAAAGAAACATAACATCTAATATGGTGTTGCCCAGAGACTTAGGCCCAATCACAATACTCACACTGCACTCTACGGTCTTCTGTGAAATGCCCTTGGAGGAAGTGCGCTGTAAGGCTTCATGTGTGTGGTACACAAGTGTGTGGTACTCAAGTGTGTGGTACACAAGTGTATGGTACACAAGTGTGTGGTACACAAGTGTGTGGTACACAAGTGTATGGTACACAAGTGTGTGGTACACAAGTGTGCAAATAGTTGCAAAATTGGGACATGGAGCATTGCATCATCGACCGCAATGCATGCCTGGATGCTGCTCACTGTGCTACATTTAAAAAAAAAACTTTATTAACAACTTTCAAACAAACCAAACAATTGTTTGAAAAAAATTATATTCATTGCTGCTTTGTCTGAAACATTGACAGCATCAACCATTTGAAAATACATATTTTAAGAAAAGGCACTTGAGCCTCTTCTCCCGCAGCAAAGGATTGTGGGTACCTTCACCCAAATCTGCATCGATGCACCCTATGCACTCACACCCCTGGCCCGGGATTGCGCAAATGAAGGGTGCAAGCGTGGAAGTGCGAGTATTGGAATTGGGCCTTGGACCCGCTCCCCTGCATTTTAATTTTGTGTGGTTTATACTTCGAAGCCACCAATATTTTTCCACAACTGGGCATCATTTCATTCATTTTAATGGACATGTCCCGAGATTACCAGTAAAACATGACACATTGTCTCAAAGCTCTTTACGGCAATCAAAAGGCATCTTTATGCAGCGTTTTCTCTTCACATGAAGCAATCACCATGTATCATAAGCAAGAATGTTTAAATGCTCTTACAAAAGGAATGAGGAACATAAACATTTCCACAAGAAAAGATAAAATCACTGGGACGTTAAAGACTGGCAGGTCCAGTACAAACCTGGAAAAACCTGCTTTTGCACAAAAACAAACAGAAAAGCTTGTAACGGACTCTAACACTCTCAGACACCACTCCGCAAAACAAGCACGCAGGATTTAGAGACTGAAAAATCTTTGTGAATAAAATACAGGTGCTGGCCAGTAAATTAGAATATCATCAAAAGGTTGAAAATATTTCAGTAATTCCATTCAAAACGTGAAACTTGTACATTATATTCATGCAATGCACACAGACCAATGTATTTCCGATGTTTATTACGTTTAATTTTGATATTTATAGGTGACAACCAATGAAAACATCAAATCTGGTATCTCAGAAAATTAGAATATTCTAAAGGCCAATGAAAAAATGTTTGTTTCTCTAATGTTGGCCAACTGAAAAGAATGAACATGAAAAGAATGTGCATGTATAGCACTCAATACTTAGTCGGGGCTCCTTTTGCCTCAATAACTGCAGTAATGCGGCGTGGCATGGACTCGATCAGTCTGTGGCACTGCTCAGGTGTTATGAGAGCCCAGGTTGCTCTGATAGTCGTCTTCAGCTCCTCTGCATTGTTGGGTCTAGCGTATTGCATCCTCCGCTTCACAATACCCCATAGATTTTCTATGGGGTTAAGGTCAGGCGAGTTTGCTGGCCAATCAAGGACAGGGATACCATGGTCCTTGAACCAGGTGCTGGTGGTTTTGGCACTGTGTGCAGGTGCCAAGTCCTGTTGAAAGGTGAAGTCTGCATCCCCATAAAGTTGGTCAGCAGCAGGAAGCATGAAGTGCTCTAAAACTTCCTGGTAGACGGCTGCATTGACCCTGGACCTCAGGAAACAGAGTGGGCCAACACCGGCAGATGACATGGCACCCCACACCATCACTGACGGTGGAAACTTTACACTGGACCTCATGCAACGTGGATTCTGTGCTTCTCCGCTCTTCCTCCAGACTCTGGGTCCTTGATTTCCAAAGGAAATGCAGAACTTGCTTTCATCAGAAAACATAACTTTGGACCACTCAGCATCAGTCCAGTCCTTTTTGTCCTTGGCCCAGGCGAGACGCTTCTTGCGCTGTTTCATGTTCAAGAGTGGCTTGACACACGGAATGCGACACCTGAATCCCATGTCTTTCATGAGTCTCCTCGTGGTGGTTCTTGAAGCGCTGACTCCAGCTGCAGTCCACTCTTTGTGGATCTCCCCCACATTTTTGAATGGGTTTGTCGTCACAATTCTCTGCAGGGTGCGGTTATCCCTAGAGCTTGTACACTTTTTTCTACCACATTTTTTCCGTCCCTTCGCCTGTCTGTTAATGTGCTTGGACACAGAGCTCTGCGAACAGCCAGCTTCTTTAGCAATCACCTTTTGTGTCTTGCCCTCCTTGTGCAAGGTGTCAATGATTGTCTTTTGGACAGCTGTTAAGTCAGAAGTCTTCCCCATGATTGTGGTGCCTTCAAAACAAGACTGAGGGACCTTTTAAAGGCCTTTGCAGGTGTTTTGAGTAAATCAGCTGATTAGAGTGGCAGCAGGTGTCTTCTATATTCAGCCTTTTCAGAATATTCTAATTTTTTGAGATACCAAATTTGGAGTTTTCATTAGTTGTCACTTATGAATATCAAATTTAAATGTAATGAACATTGGAAATACATTGGTCTGTGTGCATTGCATGAATATAATGTACAAGTTTCACGTTTTGAATGGAAATACTGAAATATTTTCAACCTTTTGATGATATTCTAATTTACTGGCCAGCACCTGTATACTTGTTTTTGTATGCAATACTGATGTCAGAGTGAAGAGGGTGCAGCCATCATTATAGAACACAACATCCAGAATAAAAGTTTTGCAACAACTGGCAAAGAGTTCCTTGATCTGATTGTTATTCAGTAGATTATTTGATAAAGTTCCTGATTACTAAAATATTCTGTAGCTGCAGCCTTAGCCTAAGATTGTACCACAGCAGCGGGTGAGCACACAGAGTGAATCAAAATGAGGCGTCAGGTGTTTGAACACTCTCACAGTGAAAGCACATCCTGATGTTCTGCATCCTCACTCCAAACAGGAGTTTTTCACTTATCGAGTGCATTAAACCCTCATTTCTATTCATCCTATTTCAGCCTGTTTGTTCCGTTACTGTGTCTCCAGAACGGAACATTAGCACATATTCAATCACACAGCAGAGGTTAAATCAAGGTCAAGCTGCACCGGCTGATTGAGCAGAACATGGTAAACACGATGCTCCCTCCTACGCCGGTTAACATGCACAGAATCTAATCCTGTTAAAAGCACTGATGTCTGCTGGTTCTGCTTGGGACTGGATAGTTTTTTACCCCTTATGGTTCAAATCCCGTCCTTTTTTTTCTAGAGCTGGAAGTAAGATGGAGCTGGTGACAAGCAACATCTTGCCTCTCAAAGGACAGCAGCGCCTGAAGCAGCTCAGAGCTTAGCCCAGAGGACAGAGTTGGTTTTAGCATCTGTTCAGTCACCAACACTCAAACTGTAGCCCAGCTTTAGCTGTCTGACTAATACAACTATTAACAGGCAAATCTGTATTGAATACACGGCTTGAAATCTTATTTTAAAGAACATGAATCATCTTTATTGGACCATAAAACACTCTAGAACTGTTTTTTGAATAACCCTTAAAACATAAAACTCCAGAACGTTTTTATTGTCAAAGGAAAAGTCATTTCTCACTCTGTCAAATTAAATCAGCAGAGAATAAAACATCAAGAGCTCAAAGCTTTTTCATTTAAAAAAAGCAATTGATAAATCAGTCTCGCCATTATTTGGAACATCACTCGTTTCTGTGAAATACATTTTTGAACAATGACTAAAGCTTTCTCAGCTCACAGCCCGACTCCTT